CATGTTCCTCCGGCACAACATGATTTTCCTACTATAATTGTCTCATCCTGATCGAAGTATCCTGCGTCACTCAAAAACACAGATTAAAATATAAACACATATTGATTGGTTTCATCATCAAAATCCGAGATTCAACAATCTCCCCCTTTTTGATGATGACAACCAATCGACTACGAAGTTAACCTTAACTCCCGGAGTTTAAACAAACTCCCCCTATCAATATGCCATAATGATAGAAACTCTTGGATTTAAAAAACCAAGCAACATGTCATGATCAAATCATGCATGTAATCAACATACTTTTTCCCCTTTGTCATCAACAAAAAAGAGAAGTTCCAACTTTCATGTGTTTAAGTATACATTTAACATATTGCATGAAAAACATAATATCAAGTTTTCTCATCATGCAATTTGTAAGCTTGAAAATTTAGCAAGTGTTACATCATGCTTAGAACATTCAAGCTATCAAGTTGTAGATATGAAAGTTTTACAACATACAAACAAGCTAGCAAATTTAAAGATGTGCAAGTTGGGATATTTGCTTTTCTTTGCGATGTGCAAGATAGCATTTCTTTGTAATGTTCAAGATAGCAAGTTCTACATCATGCTAGCTAGCAAATTAGAGATATTCAAGAAAGCAACTCTTGCTTCTTGAAATATGCAAGTTGCAAACTAGCAAATTTTTGTTTTCTTTGCAATGTTTGAGCTAGCAATTTTGCTTCCATTGCAAAGTGCAAGTTAGCATGTTTTGTATCTTGAGATAGGCAAGATTACACTTTTGGTACGCAAATTTATAGTATACAAGTTATCAACTTTTACACATAAAAAGTTAGCAAAAACATGTGCAAGATGGACTATTTTGCCTCTTTTCGAAATGTGTAACTTGGCACATATTGCTTATTTTGAGATTTGCAAGATAGCACTTTTGCTTCTTCTTGAAATATGCAAGCTAGCAAAATTTGCTCCCCCTATGTCATTGTCAAATAGAAGGGAATAACAATACAATCATGTAATTCATTTCCCTTTACTATAATCTTCAAATCATGATAAAGGTAAATAGCAAAGATGAAAAATGAAAGTCAAAAGACATATCTCATTTTTGATAAATTTCTTCTTTTGTAAATAGAAAGTATGATAGGAAACAATCTTGATTCAAAGAGAAAACTCAAGTTATAAATTAAAATCATTTTGTTATTTGTTGTAGTCATGCATCATCATTAAGCATGATATTAAACTTCTTAATATTTTCATTAAGACATCAAGCATGGTTTCAATCAAAATCGGAAATCATCAAGATACACATTTTTTCTTCTTAAGAAAAATATACATATGATCATTAGATTTAAATCTAACATTTTATTCCATTAACATAAAACATGTAATTTTTATTATTATTTTCAAAATTATTATCATGATCATATTTTTATATTTTTAATTTTTTTAAACATGTAATTTTTAAGAAAAATAATTATTCTAAAAAAAATACATCATGGAAAACATCAAGTAATTTCAAAATAAATTAAGGGTGTTTTGATTACCTCATTATTGAAAGCTATTAAGGCGTAGTTTGCCACTTCATCTTTTTTTATTTTCTCTTCGTCTTCGGAGAAGCTCGATTCATCCTAATTTTTGTTTTTCTTCTTGCATTCAAAGCAAGTAGTTCCGTTCTTTTTGCTTTTTAATTTTTGTTTCATTTGTAGTTTAAGTTTACCATCACTTGAGCTTATGCTCGAGTGGTCTTCAAATGTTCTATGTCCCAAATCCTTCCTATTCTTTGGAAGGTTGTTCTCGAGTTTCCTTTTTGCCACATTGTTCATTTCGTAGGTCATTAGAGACCCAATAAGTTCTTCGAGAGGAAATGTTTTAAGGTCCTTGGCCTCTTCAATGGCCGTAACTTTTGGATCCCAATTCTTTGGAATGAATCTTAAAATTTTAGTTACTAGTTCAAAGTTAGAAAAACCTTTACCAAGAGCTTTGAGTCCATTGATGACATCCGTGAAACGGGTGTACATATCTCCGATGGACTCACTTGGTTTCATTCGGAAAAGTTCATAAGAATGCATAAGAATGTTGATTTTGGACTCTTTCACTCAGCTAGTGCCTTCATAAGTGACCTCAAGAGTTCTCCAAATATCAAAAGCCGAATCACAAATTGAAACGCGATTAAATTCATTTTTGTCAAGTACGCAAAATAAGGCATTCAGAGCCTTTGCATTTAAAGAAAAAACCTTCTTCTCCGATTTATCCTATTCACTTATCGGAAGAGAAGATTTTTTAAATCCATTTTTTATAATATTCCAAAACTCAAAATCCATGGAAATAAGGAAGATCCTCGTACGAGTCTTCCAATACGTGTAATCCGACTCATTAAACATAGGCGGACGTGTAATAGAGTGACCATCTTGCATGCCGGAGTAAGCCATCTCTCTTGGGTATTAAACCAAATATGAGAGTGAGCCTTACTCTAATACCAATTATTAGGATCGGAGCAGCACTAAGAGGGGGGGGGTGAATTAGTGCAGCGGATTAAAACTCATAAGTTTGAAATTGATTTCGTAAATGTGTAGAGATTTCGATTCGACAAAGGATGACTTAGCTAAAATAGCTCGAGTAAAGGTAGTCAAGAGTAGGGAGATGAAAACCGAACGATTTGCAGCTAAGTAGAGAAATGGTTCAGAACATTAAACACTCACACATTCAAGGAACACCACGATGTATAGTGGTTCGGTCAAATGACCTACATCCACTTTCGAAGCAATTAATCAAGTTGTCTGGCATGTCATTGGTCCCTCGACGCTTCGTCCGATTTTTCGGCGCATCGTCCTCTCTTGCGGCCTATTGCCCAATCGGCCAGTTGACTCCGCAACTCTGATATCCTAGCACAATCTCCGCTCTTCTTGGCTCGATGCCCGAATCCATGGCCCGAAGCCTTCTATCGATACGTCGACTGATCCACCAGCCCGACATCCAATCTTCTGACATGTTCCTCTGGCACAACATGATTTTCCTGCTATAATTGTCTCATCCTGATCGAAGCTTCCTGCATCACTCAAAAATACAGATTAAAATATAAACACATATTGATTAGTTTCATCATCAAAATCCGAGATTCAACAACATGGGCCTAGCTAGCCTCTAATTGGGTTGGCCCAAATCCAAGCCCAATTACGTGCTAACTACGAAATCCTAAGACATTTGCTAAGCTAAACAAGTCCCTATGTCTATTCTTCCGGTGAGCTTCCGGCAATCTTCCGGCGAACTTCCGACGATCTCTCAACAATGTTCCGACGGACTCCTGGCAAGCTCCTGGACTTCACAATGATCTTCTTGGCGAGTTCCGACGAGCTTCTCTAGCAAGCTCCGAGACTTCTCGGTTGGTTCCACTAGAACTTTCGATGAACGTCCAGACTTCTAACAAACTCTCAAACTCCTAACGAAGTCAAGTCCTTGACTCCGGGACTTTATTTTGCTTCATGCCTTGCTATCGTAGTTAATCCTGCATATGTAAAACACACTTCGATCTAGACAATTAATACTAAGCATTTAATCATGTTGTTTGGCATGTCATTGGTCCCTCGACGCTTCGTCCGATTCTTCGGCGCATCGTCCTCTCTTGCGGCCTATTGCCCAATCGGCTAGTTGACTCTGCAACTCTGATATCCTTGGCACAATATCCGCTCTTCATGGCCCGATGCCCGAATCCACGACCCGAAGCCTTCTGTCGATACATCAACCATTCCTCCGGCCCGACATCCAATCTTTTGACATGTTTTCCTCCGGCACAACATGATTTTTCCTACTTTAATTGTCTTATCCTGATTGAAGCATCCTGCGTCACTCAAAACGTAGATTAAAACATAAACACATATCAATTGGTTTCATCATCAAAATACGAGATTCAACAATGGCTATCCTCTTCACTGTTTTAAAACTCGATAGTGATAGCATAGACAAGCCTATGTTCAACAAAATCGTACTAATTTTCTTATATTTAAAATCAAATTTGATATTTTATAAATAGTTTTGTTTTCTTTTTATAAAAACAAAAACTTGTAAAATATTTATGTTTCTTTAAGGGTAATTGACAGGAAAGATGTTGATTGGATCCTGGAACCATATGATAAATTCTCAAAATTTTACTACCTAAATTAATTAAAACTTTCGAATAAATTGAAAAACTTGGTTGTACTATGAGGCTTCCTTCCAGTTGTATTAGCCACTCTATCTAATTTTTTTTTTATCAGATTAAGTAATTAATGACAATGCTTCTTAATAAATTCTCACTAGAAATTTTTTATGAATAGTTGCTTGGTAGGTATAAAAAAAGTCATTTCTTGGTGGAGATCGTCAACCCCTACTGCAGTGGAAATTAATAATGTATTTATGGAAAATTCTTATTCTTTCTTGTTCAGATGGGATAGGGCAGAGTTTTGAACAATCTTTTCTACTTCATGTTGTTCATCTCACAAACCAAACCAATCCAACAATGAGAAGCTTTTTCTAGTGCTTCTCAGTCGATCCAGTGAAGTACAATAAGTACCATTAGCCACAATGCAGTTTGTTGGCGATCATATAAATTTATGTTGGCGATCATATGAATAGAGTTCATAATCTAAAAAGATTGTCAAATATCATAAAGAAAATAAAACCCATAATTTATGAAAGAATATGAAACTGTATTGCAATGCTAATTATTAAGATGTCCGTCACAAAACACAGCCTCTTCGAAGTAATTCTTCCATATGGGCTTCATGATGCTGTATGGATCAAATGATCACGCAGTAAAATCTTTGCTTATGACCTCAAAAACACATAGAAACAGAAACCAGATGTTGGTGGGGCTTATTCAACCATGTTGATCTCTTTATGGCTCATATATGCAATTCATCTATCATTTAAGGATACATTATTTGTATATATCAAGAAACTGGATGATGCCATTTAGCTCAGTGCAGACTCCATCGAGAAAACACATCATATCTATGGAAAAAAAAAATGAACTATGAAAAATAAAAAATGAGTTCAGCAGGCTCTTAGATTGGTAACTTGTCAGTTTTAAACCAATAGCCTAGACAGCTAAATGTATAACCTCAAGAATAGAAATCTGACATCCAAATGAAAAATGGAGGATTCACATGTATATAGATCATTGCTCTTAATGTAACCCCATCTTTCAAAATATGGGATACAAACGGTATAGTCAGCTCAAACAACATTCCACTTTGTAGGCGTCATCTGAGGGGAAAAATTAATGGGTGAAAATAAACTCGTGGTCTCGTTGCCTCTCCCAATGGAATTTGCAATGAGGTGGAAAGCCAAAACCCAAGAATCCAAAAGAAATAACATCCACAGTGCTTGTGTTGTTGTAGACCATGGGGCTTTCCTATGGCATGCATGCTTCTGTAGTTAACTTTCTGCACCTGCCTGAAAGTGGCTTTCCTCGTGAACAAAATCATTGTTTACATCTTTTCATAGAACAGAATATAGGCCTCACACTTAAGGACTTCTGACAGAGAAGCCTCCCTGACATGAGCATCACTAGCATAAAACCAGGAGGGCAAAATTTTGTCCTGATGAGCTTTGCCGCTGTTCCTTTCACCTCTCACATAAGCTATGTAGTGGCCACCTGACACACTCCCTGAGTGCTCCACCACCCCAAGCAGTCGATACGTGCACTTCTCTTCTTCCTTGCACCTGCAAACGGAAACAAGCAATAAATTTGGAATATAGCTTGATCTGCCTTTTAAGAACATCAGCTTCCATCCATTTTGATCCTTTTTTAATTTTTTTTTCCTTCAATCAAACAAGCAAAACAATTTAACATGGAATAACAGCCTCTGCCCATCAGGATTACATGTCTGAAGTAATATAAGTTTGTGCTATGCCTTTGTTTGTCTTATCTAAATCTGATGACCAACTTTCCAGTAGGAAATGCTAATAAATGCTGAAATTAGAGAGTAATTACATCACAGCCATGAAAACTATGAAGAAAAAGAATAATTGGCATATTTGTGCTCTCCAAATGAAGTAGAAGGGTAGATGCATTTGCTGTTTCTGTTGGTTGTGAAGTGAGATTTTCAGGTAAAGGTACTTTGGAGCTACTAGAAAAATGTACTTTGAAAGTTAATTTTTTCATTATCCTGGCACTTGTGTTTCAACCACTCAATTGTTTGGTGAAGCTTCATGTAGAAAATAAGTCAATAGAGGAAATTTCCTCTACATATGATGAAAGGCTTTTTTTCAGAAACTACATGAGTATAAGATTCACAGCAAAATCAATGCTCTTGATTCATTGTGATCAACCATTTAATTCTAGTAGGATAAGAAATATTGGACTTTAAACAAAGATCTTCACGATTATAGCAAACAAACTGTGGAACTTTCTTTAAATAGTTCCTCATTTTGGTAAAGGCCACACTGATTCTTCTGTTAAAGAAACAGATGAAAAAAAAAAAAACAAGTGTAACTTCAAACACATGGACCAATGAACAGCTTAGATAAATCATCATAACGCCTTGCTGATAACATATCCCAAGATATGCTTATTAAATAATTCACCAGATCATTCACAGAAAATTTCCTCTATCTAAGCACCAATACAGCACACATTCCATTACTTGGTAGATAATGTTTTCTGCCTTAAAGCACCAAAAGTTCATATATGCTATGAAGACAAACAAAGATATATTATGAAATCTAAAGCAATTTTTAGTTATAAGAAAACAATATATGACTAGCATTTAATTTGCTTTCAGATCTATTAATATGTAACAAAACAAAAAATCTTAGATAGCATCAGTGTTGTGGTAAGCAACAAGAACACACATGTAGCTATAAGTGAAAATTTAATATTAAATCATAACTATCAAATTATATGCTTGATTTACCAAGATATAAAGCTTAATACAGATTCTCACTCTCTTTTTTTTCTGTTTTTCCTCTTTACATTCTTAAGCATAATTGGGTCACTAGAATAAGATCCTTCCAACAAAGTAGACCGATAAATATCGTTCTTAAATTCAACATAACCCACTGTATTTCTCCCTGACGTCATATTATGACAAGTGGAAAATGAGATGGCTATCCCTTATTATTGGCTCTTTTCTAACAGTCATCTGTTAACAAATTAGCCCCTTTTAAAGGCATGTCATCATTGCCTTCTAATAGAATGACAACTCAATTAACATATCATCCAAAAAAGGTAACAAGTTGTCTGCATAGTATATTACCAATATATCCCACTAGATGCAACATATCAATAGAAAATCCTAATGACACAAACAAAACAATTTCATGTACAAGTAACATGAAACCTTAACAGATTTTTAACAGTGGTCTAAGCAGTTGGTAAAAAAGAGTGAAGAAAATAACCTCTTTCAATTCTCAGTTGATGCATAATGTAACTAACATCTACCTCCAGGCTCAAAAATATCAGCCTTTGCTATTATAAAATTACCATCAAAATATGAGGTGAACCACCATTATATTTTATCTTAAAATCAGAAAGTATCTGAAAATTACAACAAAAGGGTTTCGACTTATCTTACAAACCCATACCCTCTACTGCTCCTCACTAAGCTATTACAGTTATTAAAATGAAATGGAATTTGAAAGAAGAAACAACAGAGAATTTTGTTTTGTTCATGATCACTGTCATAGGATAGCATTACCTATTTTCAGATACCCATGTTTAATTTTCATGATGGCTTTGTGTCAAAGCATGGTCCATTTGAAATGCAGAAATACCAAAAGGTGCTTCCTCATAGAATAAATTGTAGATGGAGTTATTTCATAAAGTCAGACACCATTTCACGCTTTCCGTCTTATATCATCATCTATAATATTGCTATTTTTTTCTGTCATATTTCCATCATGTCAAAATTTTTTGCTCTTCCATCAGTGTATCATCATATTAATTCACTATGGCCAAAACAAAGTAGTTGAATTCTTCACATGAAAAAGCCTCCCTGCACCATTGCATAATTGTTACTTGATAAAATAACCAACACAAACACATGGCTAAACTTCCAATAACATGCCCCACATACATCCTCTCCACATGATAATTCTCTTACATATGATGTCCTCATTATCTTCCTGTTTCTTGCAATGACAATAAGCTTGGACTGCTTATCAAATGTGATAGTCTCATCAAAACTCCTCTAGATATCAATTTTCTTACTGTTTATGTAAAGTGAAATAAATTCCTCTCTGCACATCTAATAGATTGTCCAATGGAGTTCAAAACCTCCATTGATAATCGGTAATCTGGATATGATTAGACAACTGCGATATCTAAAATCTCATGACTTCAATAAGTTACCAAATATTAGTAGTGCTTGATCTAATCATTGTGTTACACTATGATTATGATGTGGTACAGAGAAAACAACATAAAGGAAAGAAAATTAAGCAGGAAATAAGGTTGTCAACAACTGAATAGAGACAAAACATAAATCAACAAATCAAACTTATACTCGTTCCCATAATGAATTATTCGATATGTCTTAGCACAGAAACATGAGAATTTGCAACAGCAATTTCTCCAGAATCGGAGTTACATGTTACGGGTGTGACTCCAACACAATACTGAATAACTGATGGTGACAATTCATGCAGTCCAATCTTTATAAGCTTCTACAAAAGTTTGGTAGATAAATCCTCTAAATTTGCATGTCGAACCACCATATCAGGAATTCTTCTAAACAAGATTATTCTCCAATTATTTCTTGTATAATGTATTTTTAAAAGGGATCCAATTCCACATAGCCAAATCAATATGCACTGTCACTCCAAAGTCACCATAAATGAGGACTAAAAGAGACTTAACTGACAGTCCCTGTACAGTGTTCTGGCTAGGGAAAATGATGCCAGTATTTCACATAGGTGTTTACATATACATGCTCAAGTAACATGATGATTGATGACTACAATTCATATTCTTTTGACCAACTATGATCTACAATGATAAAAGTGGTGCAAAAACTAAATTAATGAGTAAAAATTTCATGTAGAAAAAACAAGTGATCAAAGATGAATAATATTCATGTAGAAAAAACTAAATTAATGAAAGATAAAGGGTATATCTCTGAACGTGATTAGAACTGAGTAAAGAGAAGTGAAAGCAAGAAATCATGGGCTCAAGGTGATGCAAGATAATTAGGTTTGATACTGATTAATGCAATATGACCAACTGCTCTGATACCACTTGATACAAGCACAGGACCTCATATATTGGAGGAGAATGGTTCTATGATCATTGCAGTAGGTCTTCATCATTGTAGTAATAACAATATGCTAAGAATAGTAAATAAAGATTGAAAGAAATAAAAGATAAAGGTTTAAGACAGGAATTAGAAACCAGAGGAAATACTATAAGAGGTAAGAGAAAAAAAACCCATGGCTATCAGATGATGAAGAAAAATTTTCATTAAGAATATAACATAATTACATCATTAAAGAATTCTTTCAAGATAAATGAAAACAAAGAAAAAAAATATTAGAATTAAAAATTACACTTTCTTTTTTTCTCAATCATGATTTTTGTATAATGCCATTGGCAATTGCATCGTGCATCAAACTGCCCAATTTTTCTATCTTTAATAGTCTGCGTTCATTCCTCTTGTGTCAATCAATTATATTCCAAAATTTAACTATTAACATCTTATCAAAAATTTAAAAATTAAAATCCTAACCTAATTAAAATATGATCAAATTTAATAAATAATCATTTCCAATATTTGATAAAAATAACGAAACTACTATAATATGAAAAATATCATGATACAAATTAAACTAAAAAAAAATCCATAGATCAAATCCAAGAAGTACTAAAATATTTTTATAAAAAGCTTAAGCCTGGCAGTTCTAGACTCACCTACCTAATTAGACTCAACTTTGAGTCTACAATCAACCTTATCTTCATTATGAAGGTTCAGTTTACATTAACAGAAGCATTTAGATTATCCATACTTCAACTATTAAATCTCTGAGCAGATTTATTAACAGTTTCTGGATGTTCAACGGATGCAGAATGAAAAAGAGAAGGGAAAAATGAAGCAAGGAGTTCCTTTTAAAAATACCATCTTGGCTCCACTTGATATTCTTGCATTTGCTACTTATCATCTATCTTAATTTCCCTAATTAACTGAAGACAATGGAAACCATTGATATACAAGAAAACACACACCTCCTACATACACAGAGAGCACAGAGCACAAAAGAAAAGAAAGAAAAGAAGGGAAGAATTTTAATATAATTGGCAACCTAAATATAAAATATTTAATATGTGACAATGGTTTCTTTAATTTTCCATCCATAATATTAAATCCCATTTTTAGTCCTCCATAGCTCCCACTTCAACATCTGATATTTCTCATGTCTCTTAATTTGTAAGTTAAACTGAAACTTTAGCCATTAGTGAAGGATTTATCTCCTTCTAGGGTAGACCTCCGAGCCAGCTATCATCTATTTTGAAGTAAAATACTTAGAAACCTAATCATATTCAATGAAGCAAAAATTTAAAGCCCAAACTAGGGAAAAAAAGGACTTCATACTGGTCATTTGAAACATAAGCATCCAAATCTGTAATAAAACATGTAAGCAATTTTCATATTTCAGTTCCAATGTGCTCCTTGAGTAAGAGTAGTAAAGCCTAGAGTTTGAAGTTTTGTATACCAGATCTGTTTTGGTTCACAGGTGGACTGGTGGGGCCCTGTATGCACATGTGTGCAGACACATGGTGGACTAGTGGGGGTCCTGTATGCACATGCGTGCAGATACATGGTACGCCTGTATGTACCACGGGAGGAGGAAAAGGAGAAGAATAAGAAGGGGATCGGGGAAGAGAAGTGGAAGAGGAGAGGAGAAATGATGGTGCTAGAAAGGTGAGCATGTAAGAGATCAAGAGGAAGGACAGAGAGAGAGGCTGAGGGCAAGGGAATTTAACCCTAAATAAAAAAGGAAAAAGCCAGGACAGGGAAGTAAGCTTGGTTTTAGAGGGTCATTGGGTGATAACCACTGTATTGGATTTGAACTGCCTGAAAAGGAAGTCTACATATTGGTTCCCCAACGAGATGATAAATACCACCGAGTATGGAATGGTACAGAGTGTATTTAGAACCATGATAAAGCCATCATCCAAAAAAGGTCAGTGGTGTTGACGAAAGCTGAGATGATCAAGTAAATGACAAAACTGAAGGGAGGAAAGATCAAGAAAGAAAGGGTGTGTATCCAAACATATTATCATGCTTAGGGATGGATAGGCTGTACAAGTTTGTCACGTACCTACTTTCCGACATCTTGCAACCATTAGAACCGTAGAATTATAAGAATAGCCTTCAAGAGCAATTTAACTTTTTTTTTTGTAAAGGATAAATGATGAAGGTGAGATTCGAGCCAAGACCTTACGATAATCTATCAAGGTTTTTACTAGCTAAGCTAGCTAACACCTTCAAAAATATGTCAGTTGAGACTTCAAACCCACAACCTTTGGTAAATGGATCTAGTACACCAACACCAAACAAATATTTAAGGTGTAACAATTAAACAATTAAACATTTGTAGATAGCAATTTAACTATCTACAGATGGAATTTTATGTGATCACACAAATAACAAATTGCATCCATCGAAAAAGTATACCAGAATGTGGTCTTGCTTCTAGGTCATGAAACAGTTAAACAATGCAAAATTGAGACTAACATAATAAATAATGTCATTCAACAACTTTTCCCATCAACCAAGGTGAAGAATCTGGTCCACACTATCTTCATTATGGTTTAAGAGATCAATGACAGCAATGCTTTCCATATAAAGGACAAAGTGTACTTGACATAGAAATAAAAAGATCAATTATCTATCTAGGACATTAATTTCCTGCACAGAATACATAAGAAATTTATCTCATTCTATCTATTATAAGAAAATGCGTGGGTGCAATAGTGCACCATGTATTCATAGAGCTGAAAACAATAAGATTCTAGTAAACTGATTATATTCACACACATTTCATGACTCAAAGACACTGAAAGTACGATGAATTTCCTGCCATTCATTACTTAGTTTCATGAATTTCACCAACTGCAAGGTATATATCAAAGAATTTGCTATGACAGTTAATCAGCGCAGAAGCCAATGTCTTGACTTTAAACAAATCATCATTATTAAGCAAATATCTCCACGTCAAAATCTTTAATAAATCATATATCTAGGATAATTTCAAGGACAATGAAACTATCTTGATTGATATATTGAAAAGTCAAGGTGCCTTTGCCTAATATCACAGCTTCCTAGACATGCAAGAGTTTCTCATTGTCAGTGTCAACAACTAACAAGATAGTAAGCTAAGATTAGAAGTTCTTCAAACCCATCGAATTGCCAAGTTCTTCAAACCCGTCGAATTGCCTAGAATGCAAACGAGCAAGCATGTAGCTAAAAGCATGTTTTTAATATATGGTCCATCCCAGCTAGTATTTACAAGTCAAATGGCAAACCGGCCCATGGACCATCCCTTGGCAGTCCAATTGATCGAGAACCATCCAAGTTTATAAAGAATTTTAGAAAAGTTTATTCTAGGCAAAGAAATCAGAAAAAAGTCATCAATTAGTTATGTGAAAAAATGAAGAGTCCTTTTGGTCTTTCTAAGTGTTAATCTTGAGACTCTAATTTTGTATTAAGTGCACTCTGCACTCTTGTATTAAATGCACTCTTTTACTTCTAAGCTGTAATAATTTTTTTTCAAAAGATTATTAGATCTCCTAGAAGTCACATTTTGGGTTTCCAAAAGACATACAAGTTCTCTAGGAGATTACTCTTGGGAATCATTACCATTAATGATTATAGCAAGGCATCCAAACCTCTATAAATAGTGGAACTTGTCAATTGATGAAACAGTTCATATTTGAATAAAAATGCATCTTGTCTCTTCTAGTCTCTCTAATCTCACTCTTCTCTTGCTCTCTCTCTATTTCTACTCATTTATTTTGTTTTATGGTTAAACAACATGATATGTCCCTCTACCTCTCTGTCTTGACTCCCTCGAACTCTCTCGTGACATATACCGCTCACTGCTGCCTGCTGCTCATCGCCCATTGCTCTTTGTCGCTAGCCTGGGTACTACTCCTCCCCTCCTCTTCTCCTTCAAATCTGCTCCTCCTCCTCCTCTCTTCTTTATTCATACCACATCATTTACCGACATACTTGTGTTGGTGTGTTGGTGTGTTGGCATGTCAATACACGATATTTATTTCTACTCCAAAGATTCCAAATAAATAAATAGCTATATGAATAGGATAAAAATTATTTAAAAGAAAAAGTACCTCGAATCCAGATATGGCCTCAAGTCAAGCATCTCCTGGAAGAATACATGGCCCCTCAACTTAGTTAACCGGCCACGTCCATCTTGACTAAATCTCTTCAAATGTATAGTTAAAATAGGTGGTGTTCTGTTAATCAGAATCCTTTTAGTTGCATCCCTCTTCACTTTCCTCTTTGTAGGCTCCTCTTTTTTGACCCTTCTATCTCTGCCTGGATGAGTTTGACTCAAATAATTTGAACCTTTTTTGGGTACATGATTAACATCAAGGTTGTCATTTCTGCAGGAATTCGACAAGCTTGCTCCAGTATTACCTGGGGAACTAGTCAAAGTATTACCTAGAGCTTGTCCACTAGTTGGAACATCTTCCTTACCACTTGTGGTTTGATTATCAAACCCAGAATCTACCAATTCCTGATCCTCTAGAACAACAATTGGTTTGCTTATTTGATCACACAATATGGAGCCTGGCATCATTATGTTACTCCCAGTAATGATTTCTATGATTTCTCCATTTTTACATCTCATTTTTTCCGTTTCACCAACAATATCAAGTGATTTCAGGTCAGTATCAGGCCTTTGTGGATGTAACTCAATGTCAGCAAAGGTGGATTCTGTTTCCCTGGTGCCTAATTCTTTGGAATCAGTTGAATTCAGGCAATCCACATGCAAATTGGAAGAAACATTTTCACTTGTGCCTTGAGCATCATCAACACAAGGTTTCATTATGTCGGACTGACCAAGTGTTGCTAAAGTCTGGCTCTTGCTAGTTCTATCAGTAGTCATCTCATTGGACAACACCTCAGAACAGTGCTCACAGTACCAAGCATCCTCATCAGACAAAAGCTCTACACTGGTAAATAACACCAGGCAACTTTCAATTGATACTTGAGCATTACTATCGTCCACCTCCTCCTGATTAGACTCACTGCTGTTATTAGCCCAAAGTGTCACAGCCATCTCTTCAGCCATGCCAATATCTCTGTTGAGTTCAGAAGTAACCTCTGGCTCATTAAATAAGTCACCAAATCCATCAAAGTCAACTTCTGCTTGTTCAGAATCAACAATAGATGCAGCCTGCACACTTGGTTCCTTCATTAAATTATCAGATGAAGACATGTTATCAGGATTTTGAGAAGTCACACCAGTCATAGCATTTGTGGTACGATCCAGCACATCATAAGGAAGTAAAATAACCCCAGAATCATATGCACATGAAGAAGAGATATCATTTCTGCTTGGGTTTTCTCCACAAGAATCTGAAGACACCATCAGCTCCTTGGGAGAATTGTCAACCTCTGACTCCACTGGAATATTATTTTCACTCTGGAATATCTGACCACTCTCAGAAAAATGCAAAACAGAGTTCCCACAAGTTTGGGAACCCAAATCTAGAGCATCCGGTGTCATAGTGGGCTCTGCAAGATAATCCATCCATGAGGAATCCTCTGCCTCCGAAGCAATATTTTGTTCTGTTCCTGGTGCAGCACTGAGATGGTTACTTTTATCTGAGTCATTTAATATCAAATCAGCATTTTCTTCTGGTTTGGATGCATTACCGGATGACTCACTACACTCCACTGATGAAGTAACTCTTTCTTCCGGTCGATATTGTTCCATGACCACAGATCCTCTTGCACTACCTTTTTCTCGGAACCTCCGAGATTTATCCCTTTCTTTCAAAGGTGGCTTACTCCTTTTAGGTGGAGGTGGTGGAGCCTTCTTAGAAGTAATCCTCTTTGAAGGCACTGGCAATGATAGATCCAGAAATGGTTCATGGACTATGGAAGTATGCCCACATTCAGCACAACAGATAGTACTTGATAGCTGGCCACCAAAGATGTTATCCACCACAGTGCTCCCCAAATTTGAAGTAGCCATATTTTGATCATTCCAAGAATCTTGTGTTTTGTCTGAACTTCTCTCTTCTACATACAACCCATCAAGCAAGCAACGTAGCAATTCATGACTGTCCTGCTGCTGGTACCCCCTGAATTGCGGGGCCTTTGAACTAATGCATCCAAAAAGATTCTTTGGACTTAACACACTTTTCGAATCTGTCCCACCTCTGGTTTCATCAAACAGTTTTTTCAATGCCATAGTAAGTGGCCCTATAGGCCTATCCAAGTTCACCATGTAATGCCGCAACATATCTATGGAAAGAAGGTTCTGCATCACCGAATTGAAGAAACATGTGTTCCCAAGATTGGATAACCCTCTGATCTTATACCCCTTGCTGCCCTCTGGTGTTGGAGGCTCGATCCCACCACCTTCAACCCTTCCATCTTCTAATTTAACCTCTCCTGCATCAACCACAACATGTGGCAGCTCAACACAGACTGCCAAACTGCACGAGAAGCACCATCCGATCGTAGGATTGTCCAATCGCACCACGCAAGCATGGCGCTCCTGCTTCGAGTGCCGACGGGCATGGCCATAGGGCACCGAATCGCTCACTGCTCCCCCACAGAAATAGCGATTGCAATCCAAACAGACCCAAATTAAGTGCGACTCCGGTCCTATCTCCGAGTTCTTCACCGCCCCTTCTCTCTTTTTCTGATGTTTACCCTTTTTACCCCCGCCTCTCTTAGCAGCAGGCTCTTCCCTGCAGTGCTCACAAGCCACTGCAACCTTCGATGACAAAATTTCCGAAAGAATCTGATTCACCTCGGCACTACCCTTACCGTAATGACCGCACTGCTCATGCCTCACATTTTCATACTCACTGTTCTCCTTCGGATCGGTCGTCCCAACGATGGGTTGGGCAGATCCGGACGGAGCCCGCGGATGCACCTTGCGAGGGTTCCGCGCCTTGGTCTTCATCTTCTTCCCCATCGATTCCCAATCACGATGATCCAAAAATCAAATGAATCAAAATGAAAAAAAAAAAAAGGAGAGAGTAACTGACGATCCAAAATAGGGAATCAAACAGGAAAATCGCGATCTCCAGCACGGACTTCTCGGCACAAAATCGAGAACTCAGGACTTCAAAACTACTCCCAAAGTTCGCTCGAAAAAATCTCAGATTTCAGGCGACGGAGAGAAACAGATACGATCTGCACCTGAAAAGAGTAAAAGGGCAGTGAAAAAAGGATTGAAATTAGAATCCAGGAAGCTGTTTAGCTGAAGGATTTAGGATTGAGAGAGGAAGACGGGGTGGAGGGATCGCGACTCCTTTTATTTGGGTCGCCCAGAAAGCAAACGAGGGTTTTTTATCCAAATCGATGTAAACCGGAACGGAATACTCTTCCGGCTCATGTGACTCGGTTCCATTCCTCCGACTCACCTGATTCGGTTAAGACAGGCCGAACTTGATGGGCTCCGTCAGTTCCAGTATACACTTTACGTAGACACCAGTTGTTCGCAAATCTATTCTGAATTTATCAAGCTCTAATATTGATGTGTTCGTTATTTTGGATTAATCGATACTTGATATATGAAACCTAATCAGTCCTGAAAATATCACATCAATGATATATAGAACCTAATCAGTCCCGAAAATATCACATCAACTATTGAAGATACAAAGAGTCTCTGTTGTCATCTTATGTGAAAGAACATTCAAAAAAAAATATTCTCCTATTAAACCGATGATTATAATAATGATGATATATAAAATAATCTTTTCAAGTATATGATCATTTAAAATAAATTAAATAAATATTTACAAAATTTAGACGCTCATAAAAATATACTAACTTGATTATTAGAATGAGGTTTTATGAGATAAACCCTCAACGTAATTTTTTACAAAAAGTAATATATAAGACTCATGCATCTTTTACTCTCATGCGTAACAAAAACATAGGTTACAAGCATTTCTCACGTTCAAAAAACTTTCTCCCTTATTCAAATCCTAAATGCTTAAATGACTCTTCTCTTTTTCAAACGTAAAATATAATAATATTCGAAACACTAGCCAAATAGAGTCAATTTTATCAAATCAAAATGGCCTTATCAAGTAGGTGAGATCGTTCATCATCAATGCATTCATGTCGTTGTAAATGCTTTCAATGATTGCTAGAAGAAAGTCTCTCGAGATATCGTTAAAAAAACTAAATACCGAAAGTCCCACAAAAAACACGTGAAGAGACCCTTCTCTCTTTAAAACTCAACCTCAGACAAGGGGCTTCTACCTTCCCCTCTATAGGGACATTTGGATCATGCCTAGATCCACACTATTAATAATGAGTCATGAGTGATCATAATTTCCTTTTCTTAAGTGGGAATCTGACTCAAGTTAAAAGTTCGTTTTGATGTCTTATTTGGCCTCACCCAGTAAGTTCAAGACTTTGACTAGGATGATGTAGATATTGTCTTCTTCCCTCGCTACTTGTTAGTAGTGATACATAATCTACCAAGACCAATTCTAGGCACTATAGAGAACTCCAAATCAGTCATCATCCCCCCAACCGCCAATGTTTGCAAGTTTCTCTTAAGCACTACAATTACTTCCTTAAGAGGTCAATCTAGTTCAACCTCAACTGCATCTACATCAATCTAAAGTATATGTTTTTCACTAAAGAGTTGAGTCCTATCTTACACGAACAATAACAAGAAATGGACAAATGACTCAATGACATGAGATGCAAGATCCGACAAGGAAAAGAGCCTTAAGTGACATTGCAAAATCAATCACCTTTCACTCATGATATTAAAGATGAACGTGTTACAAGTGACATTGAAAAATCAATCACCTTTCACTCATGATATTAAAGATGAACATCTTCCCTCTAATTTGTGTATATTAAATCTCTTAGAGTACGATGTTATATTATAATATTCTGATTTAATCCCACATCATAAGTAATTAAAGACTAAGATTGACTTATAAATATCTAATGGATACATTATTATTAGTTAAGCTTAAACATTTTGTATCCAAAAAGATTTAAACCTTTAATATTTATGTTATGAAATATAATATATATAGATCACTCGTCATGACATAAAAGAATCCAAAGCACTCATGTATCTCAAAGTGTCTCAAAGTGTCTTGTTCATGCATGATGCATATGCCAAAAATAAAAAATCATTTGAAACCCTGACACACCCTAAATTATTCCATTCATACACAATGCATCCACCCGTGATAAAAAAGCATTCCATTTATACACAATGCATCCACCCGTGATAAAAAAAGCAAAAGCGCCTGACACTTGATGCATCTGCTCAGGATAAAAAGTATCTAAAATACTTGACACACCCCAAAAGCATCTAATATATCCGTGATGCATTCGTCCTGGATTGAAAACCATTCAAAGTGTCTATTACACTCAAAGCATCCTCTTTATATATTATGCATTCACATAAGACAAAAAACATATGAAATGCCTAATACATCGAAAGTGTGTGATTTGTGAGCAATGTGTTGTTTAGGATGTTAGGATGATGAAGGGACTAAGGGGGAGGGATGAATTAAATTTCTATCTTAATCTACTCTCACTATTTTTCTGACAAGTCATGTGACACCCTCAATAGGTGAAATGGAAGTCTTCAGTAAACTTCTAATGAAGATCGGGATTCAATCATCATCTTATTATAACTTCAAGGGACTCAACTAATCACATTAAGCCCAAAAGGTAGGCAACTCTTACCGATCATAATTCCTTATGATTCCCGTCCTATTTGGCCTTCGAACCACCATGGTCTCAAAGAGACTCTACCAACTAAGATGTTTGGTTAAGTCAACACTATTATTACAAGATGAGTCTGATTCGAAGATATACCCTCGAGAGACTTGATCAAGTATACTATGTCCTCAAGTCACCGGTGACATCTCTATGTCATAGGTAAGATAGCGAATCACGATATAGGTGGGCCTTAAGGGACTCGACCGACTCAACCTATATAGAGAATCTGTCCTTATCTATAATGATGAAAGGCCACGTGGGTGAATCTAATTGCCTCACGTTTACCGACTTAATATTATCGGGAGAGGAGATTTTGATTTGGTCTCCTAATATGACATATCACACATATACATATTTATATATCAAAATTACATATAAATATATATACATATCTAATAGGTGTACAAGCAATCAAACATCACATGAGCAATCACATTATATGATCATGGACCATAGCCTAATATG